CTTCATCTCTACCGCCGCCGATGAACAGACGCCGCCGGCGAACCGCCACCTCAGAGAGCCCAAACAGTTTTCCGTCGGCAGCCAAACCACCACTCGCCGCCGCTCTCGACGGAGCTGAACCACACACTACCGACGGACACCCACACCCTCGCCGGGGGTCACACGCAGCACAACCTCTACGTCGGCGCGTCGTAGCCGGTCGTCACGACTCTTCTCCGGCGACCTTCCATTGGCGGCCAACAGTTTGTGTGGAAGAGTTGCAGGTGCAAATATTTGAATGGTTCCCTCGCCGGATTGGACCGCCTCTGCCAGAATTTCGTGCGGTGGCCGAGCGACGGGATTGATGGCGATACAGGAGGCTGAAAACTAAGTTTGTGTGTGCTAGATTTTAGGGTTTAATTTAGAGAATTAGATTATATTTAGGGACTTAGTTGTAAATTTAATAATTTTGTTTAATTTTCAATTTAACCATGGGTCAAATATTTAATTTACAATTGTATATAAAAGTATATTATTTCATATATCTTTTAAATACATAAAATAATAAACAACATATTAAATAAATAAGATATTAAAATATTATTGAACATATTGCACATTATTGACTGATGGGTTGCACTTTTGTGTTGGTGAGAATGCACTTTAGCATAACAAATGCACTTCGACTGCACAATAACGTTAGACGAATTGCACTTTAACGACTATCAAGTTGCACCGTAATGTTAGAATAATTGCACACAATTATCGAAACTGAATGAACTAAAGATCTCGTTACGAAATCTTATGATTCGGCTCGATTATCTATTTTCATTTGTAAAATACCAATTATGTCATTTCAATATCGACATTCTTTTTTTTTTTAAAATAACCAAAATAATCAAACAGACAAACTATATAAAAAAAAAATTTCATATATTTTTATATAAAAATATTATTTATTTTTCAGCTAGAAAAATATTAAATATAAATATTATAAATACTAAATATATATTTATTATAATTTAAATATTAATTACTTATATCATTTGTATTTCAGTTACTGATTATTTAAATTCGATTGTAGTTTTGTTACTACAAATTATTAAACATACATGCGCTGCAAGTGCACAATACTTTTAGATGAATTGCACATTAATGACTATCGAATTGCACTTAATCGATTGAACTAATTTTTTCAGTTTAAAATTTTACATTTTGGTTTGGTTATCTTTTTTTTTTTACTTCTAAAATCACCATTATTTTAGTTTGAGGTCGGCAATTTTTTTCAAATAGATGAAAAAAAAAATCAAACCTACTGAACTACATGAAAATATTATATTTAATTTTTTTTGTATTTTTATGTATTACAACTACACAATGATGTTATACAAATTGCACGTCAATGTCTATCAAATTGCAATAGCCATCGAAACCGACCGAACTAGAATTTTCAGTTCGAGATTTTGTGTTTCGACTCAATTATATTTTAGTTACTTTTAAATAATATTTTTTTAATTCAATTTTATTTCATTCAATTTATAATGTGCAATTATTAATTAGTATTTTACACTTTCAATATCATGTAGTAAATATACTTTTCATGAATCATAGATTTGCCCCATGTATTAAATTGAAGTTTAATAAAAAAAAAAACCCTATAATTGCAATTGAGCCCCTCAAATTTATCAAATTCTCTAAATGAAGGCCACAAATTCCAAAACACCAAACTCATAAAATCAAGAACTGCGTCTCGCGCCTTTCAACCAAATCACACTAGAAGCTTTCGTCCTGGCGGCATGCCCCTGCATGACACCCAGCGGACGGTAAGAATATCTACGTCATCTTCTAAAATTTCGTCGCCAGCTTCCTTCCGACGTGGGTCAAGAGCAGGAAGGGGGTGAAGTGAATCTCGATTTTGACTTTCGCAGTGGTA